CTTAGATTCCCCTAGTCAAGTGAAAGCACAGATAGGCTTTGGATTTTCACGTCCTGCCAGCAGCTCACTCTGTCGCAGACTATACAATGCAAAGCGGAAAGTGACAGACTACAGTATATAATTTGGAATCATTAAACCCACACAGAATATACTTAGAACATGGAAAACCTATTGTGTCTTCAGGTGTTTTTTTTAATTAAAAAAACCCCCACCTTGTAAATGTTTACAAACTCCAGTACTTTTGAAATTTTGACACTATTTGGGCTCTCCACCCATCCCAAAAGAGCTCAGACTACATACTTCACCCAAACACAGTGTATTGGGGCTTAAAGTTATACCTACTTGTCTTGTTAGGTTACAAAACTGAATGGTTCTACTTTAGTTTAGTAAGAATCCTTGAATATCATCCAATTGCACCATGGGCATATTTTAGCCATAAGCATCTAATGAAGGTACCAGCATGGCAGACAAAATATGTAGCAAAACATCGCAAATGACATAGTTAATTTTTTTTAAAGGGTGGAAATCACAACAGTACTTATTGAAGAATCCAGATAAGGAAAGCATGGCTAAGATGCTGTAGACCAGGGGTGGCCACTCCCAAGACACTGCAATTTACTCACAGAGTTAAAAACTGGCAGTGATCTACCCCCTTTTTAGGGGCTCAGGTCAAAGATATTTAGCTTTTTATAGGGGAGCCAAAGTTGTTGAGATTCTTTGGGGGGAGCCAGTGATCTACCAGTGATCTACCACAGACGTCCAGTGATCTACCAGTAGATCATGATCTACCTGTTGAACATGCCTGCTGTAGACAATGTATTATATAATATCCAGTGCTGTTTTTCTAGAAAAAGGCGTGTCAGAATTCTTTTGTTCTCTTATAATGGAAATGGTGTTCACCTGAGAGATGCTGGAACTGAGTGCCGGTGAGTTCTGACTAAAAAAAAAGCTCTGATGATATCTAAAGGGAGCCTATGTTCTCTGCCATTCCATGAATATAGACTAAGGCTGCAATCCTATACTCAATTAGCAGTTATTACGTCCCACTGAATACAACAAAACTTATCTCAGTAGATATGCTAGCATTGTACTGCAAATTGTGGGCCCAGAATATCACTAAATATGAATTCACAAGGAGATTTTTTATTTTTCTGTAAATCCTAGTGAAGATTTTCAATACCAATGTACTCAAATTCATGTAGCGGTTGGATAACTTGTCCGTGGTGAATTCGCCCATACAACGCCAACTCCCTTCCTTTCATCACAAACAGAACACACTTAGAGGGACCAATCTATGGATCACACACCACATTCAGCTGTCTTAAGTCACAAAGATAATACAATCTCCCTGCAGATATATTGTGTGCCTAAAACAACAGGCAAACATAATATAAATTACACCACAAAAAGAGTTTCTTAAGATGAAATAGTTATGCCCTTATTATTTTCCATGTAAGCTACAAAGATGGAAGTTATTTGCCCTTTAACAAGTAGTGCACAATTATCCTGTAGAATTCACAGTACCAACCTGTGTGGTGGGGTACAGCCGTCTTTCCAACATGATTTTGTAGCTGGAATGGGATGGGACAGAACTCCTGTTACCACTGCTTTGCTGGGAGTAGCAGCTGTAGCACACTGCAGTGTTGTGCTGATGGTGTTCCTGGCCTTGGTGTGGTAGGTGGGGTGGTTTTCCAGCTCTCACAGCCATGCCAGGGGCCAGGAAAAACACACAAAACCTCAGGGGCCAGTTGGCATTTGAGCTGGGCTCCTAAGGGGTGGGGCTTCACAGCAGACCTGAGTGAAGACTTCACCTATCCTGGTCCGTTCTGAGAGCATAAAGGTGGGGTGAGCAGTGGATTTGGCATTCCAATCTTTGTGTGCCTTCCCCTCCCACCCTTCCTACTTTGTTGTGGTTCTATAGTTGTCCAAAGGGAATGAGACAACTGAAGTTTCATACCTTCTTATGGGTTAGTGTAGGTCTTTGTTTACCTAGAGACTGATTGGCTGTGTCTGCAGGTTTTGCCTGCCTCACAGCAATCATCACAACTTTGAGATGTAAGAAGCGCTGCGCTGGGTCCCTAGTGGAGATGGGCAGGGATGCCCCCCCATACCATAGGGGAATCCCCTTAAAGGATTGTGGAAGATGGCACTTCCTGTCCAGATGCCCAATTCAGGGGCATCTGCCAATGGACAGGCTGGTTGATCATTGACTACATGCCCAATGCCTGTGCCAAACCTGTTTCATCTGTACTCAATCAAGTTGAGGTTTAATTTGAACCCAGTACATGCCTCTTGGTATTCATCTGCCCTCTATGCACCCGTACCGCCCAGGTCCACAGTGGCCATGAGGTCAGGCACACACTCGCAAAATAAACCTGTCCACTTCAATCATTACGCTAACATAGGCTTCTCTAGGCATTTTATGTTGTAAACAGTCCTGTGATCTTTGAAGGGCAGTATAGAAATCTAATTTTTTAATAGTAGCCTATCCAGTCTTACATTGCATTAGACTGTGAATAAGCAAGGCTCCACATACCAGAGCTGCATGCCTCTTTCAGTTAATAGTTTAGTAAAATAATCCATCCTAATTCAGATGCTTTATGCATGCATCCTATACAGTGTTAAGTTTTGCAAATAATTTCCATTGTCTGTTAGGTAGGATTTCAAAAGTTTGCACACATCTTTCAGAAACTGTTTTGCATCCTAACTAAAGTCCTCTTAAAAAGCAAACCCTAAAATGCCAGTTATTTTGTTTTAAGTACAGAATTTGAAATAGAGTAAAAATTATGTGAATAATTGTGCTGCAAGAATTCTGAACCTCAGTAAAAAAGCTCAACAGCAGGATATAAACTCTAACCTTCCAAGCACATCAGTTAAGGATTAGCTATAATAAGATACAGGATTAGCTACATCTTGTGACAAGGAGGGGAAAAAACGTAGCTGAAGAAAAGATGAGTCACTGCTTCTCATTGCTAGTTCCAGGAGATAATCCTTGGGAACCTATCCTACTGTAACACTCTCTGCCTATCAAAAGCACAGTTCTTCCTCTAAAGCCAGGGGATCTACCAATCAAGTGATTAGCAGGGAACATAACCAGGAATATGGATTTAGGCGTATACACAACAAAGCTTTTTAAATTAAAGGAAGATTTAACAGCAACATTCAATGCAATAGTATGCGTGTGTGTGTGTGTGTGTGTGTACTGCCCTACATTAGAGTGGTTAAGAGGGGTTTGCTGAATGTCTAGGTTTCCCCATGGATGATCTCTGGTTAAGAGTTTAAACCTACATAATAGTTACATTCAGAAATTCTCGCCCACACATTAGCAAAAACGTCAATTGCAAACATTCAGAATCTATTAAAAGAATAGCCCAAATATAAAGCACTTTGAATTCTATTGCTTTCCGTGAGAATTAAACATACACAACGTTCTGGCCATGCACTCACCTTACAGTGGGTTGTGTGCTACTCAGAAGCAGATTTCCAGTGCTCCCGAGTATGAACTAGGTGAATTATTGTGTCCTCCCTCTGAAGGAAAGGATTATCCACTTGCTTTGGGCCAAGCTGGGAGACACTGGAAAGCCAAAAGACTCCTACTACTTCGGTGCATGTCCAAAGCTAATAGGGGGTGAGAGGTTGTCTGCTATGTCCTCCCCCAAGTATGGCTTGTGGGCGATGCGATCTATCTCTCCTATCTGTGTGATCTTTATTTTGATCTGCCTTATGATATTGATTCTCATCAGCACTATCAGCTGTGCTAGAATATGACGCCTTTCTATCTCTGGCAACATTACTTGCAATAAATTTCAAGCCACTGGAAGTTCCCACAGGTTGTCAGAAACCTTAAGACGGAGTGGATGTTTCCATCCTTGACCAACTCATCTAATGTAGTGCTGCCCCATTTATTAGGCAGGAGCTGATGGCAGCAGAGAGGAGCGGGTGCACCAAATGCTGCATGTTCCCGTGACTTTCCTGGCTCCATAAAACAGAGGTGTAAGAAATTAAAAAGGATGAGATTTGTGCCTTTCATGGAAGATGAACTTGTGCTGTCTTTGTGTCCCAGAAAGAAGCATGCAGGGGATAAATAAGAGAGATTTTGAGCTATCAGCAGTCATGAGGGGTGGACAGATACTGCCTTCCAAGCAATGAGTTAGGTTGTGTGTGTATTCCACTCTGCCATGAGAAAATCATTGGAGAGATGGGGAGTGTATGTATGTACTTTTTATTGGTCCCACCCATGCTGGAATCTGGCCCTTAGGCTCAGAAAGGTTCCTTAGTCTTCCTCTAGATATAACAGGCAATTAGTTCTGCTATGAGAGGCATGTATGAGGGCTAACCTATCCTATCAGATGCAAACCAATTCTAAATAATGCAGCACAGGATTGTATATTGAATCATTTATCATATCTTTCCACTTTCCAGGTTATCTACTAGAGTTCAGTTTTCTAGTTTTCATGCATTTGCTAAGGTTATTTACAAAATAAAGAAATTTCCATGAAAATTTCCATTTCATTTTTGTCCTGGGCTGTAAAATGACTGAGATTAAGTACAAATGACTGAGATTAAGTCAGTTTGCTCCAGGACATGAATGAAATTAAATTCCTTTGTAATAATGATCCTCATTTGGAAAGCACAATTTTAGAACCCCATTATTATTATCTTTGCAAATTCATGACAAAAAACATTTGGAAGCTCCAGCCAAAGAAGCTTAATGCTTTTCAATACGTTGCTATCATTAATTATTTGAGTGAAAGCTTTGATAATATAAACAAATGAATTAATAAAACGCAATTTTCAAGAAGGCAGAACTTCCAAATAGTCATATATCACATCCATCCAAAGAAAATAAAAACCCACAACTCTAAAAATTTAGCTTCAAACCAAAAATTGCAATGTGGATAAAACAAGTAAAAAGTACCCTTATTGTATACAATAACATTTTTTTAAAAAACAGAATAATTGTGCCAGTTATCAGAAAAGGAAGTAAAATAGAAAGTTACCCTAAAAGACATTTCAAGATTCTCTCCACCCCAGATATCCATTCCTGCATCGTAAGTTCCTATCTCTTCAAAGTAGTTTCTGTCAATAGAAAATAGGCCACCAGCCATAGTAGGGGTCCTAGTTGAAAAACAAAACAAAAACAGAAAGGAAAAGGATTTTTTTTTTTAATGTATGCTTTGTGGAATTTAATAGGTGAAACTATAGCACATATCCTCCATATACTTTAGACATAATTATATTCTATTTACTATAAGCTGAAGGTGCATAATTAGGCATCATAGTTTTGATTGCCTGCACATGCAATTTCTGGTCATTTATTTCTTTACTTAAGACACCTAAACTGCACCTTTATCCACATATGGGTTCCAGGGCAGTGTACATAAAAAACAGAAATCTTCATACTTCAATATACATCTAAATGATGCATGCATTAAGAATACATTCCAAAAACTGGCCAAATCCTGCATGCATGATAAAAGTTGCTTTAAATTTATATATGTATATCATCTTATATTTTATGCCAATGGAATACTGTATCGGGTTTCTATATTCCTCTTCTAAAATAACCTAAACAAAATATGACTTTTGATGTATTTGACTCCATCTTGAGAGTGCTCATTAAACTGGTGGGCACAATCACTTTACAGGATTGTAAAATCTTGCAAGAGACAAATCCAGTTAGTGTGCTGGTTTATACAAACAGTACTGTCTGAATCCCTGAAATTATCCATTATACTCTCTCTATATATTTTAAAAAGTTTAAATCAGTTCATTTTCTTTAAAATCTGTTTAGAGATGTATACTCTGCAATAAATATAATGGTTCCACTTAAAAAAAAACCAAAACCCATCATAGAAGCATTAGAATGAAGGATGGATGCTTTATTTCAATGATCTGATTACTTGATTCTATTGGGTATTATAAACATGTACTCTAAAGTGCCTAACTGAGGAGCTGAGAATGCAGTACTAAGCCTTAAGTCATTTGATTGTTATTGAATATATTCCATTGATTTATCACAATGTATGCATTGTATATTTGATACCAGAGCAGGTTATACTGGTTTCTTCTTTTGTCTCCATAACTGTCTAGGCAATTTTTTTTCCAGGTATCCACTGTTTAAAGTGGTATGCAGGAAGCAGAAACCAAACAGGATGTAAAGGTAAAGGTAAAGGTACCCCTGCCCGTACAGGCCAGTCTTGACAGACTCTAGGGTTGTGCGCCCATCTCACTTAAGAGGCCGGGGGCCAGCGCTAGGTTGGCAGGCGCTGGGACTGAGCAGCGGGAGCGCACCCCGCCACAGGGATTCGAACCGCCGACCTTTCGATCGGCAAGCCCTAGGTGCTGAGGCTTTTACCAGGATGTAGGGAGCGGGAAATGTGCTCTTTGCAAGATAGTTGAAGTCAAAAGACTTCTATTGCAAATGTGTGTGTGTGCAAGCACACATGCAAGATGAATAATTACTTCTTGTGAATTATTCAATGGTTTCAATGGAACATATGCACTCAGATTTTTCCCAAGAACATGTTTTATTCCACTTAATTCTGCTCATTATTTTTGATTCATAACTGGGAACTGCATGCAAGTATTTTCCTCTATGTCTTAAGTTTGAACTGAGTTCCTTGTGTTGTAGGCTTTTGATAAGTTACATGGCCACAGAGTTCTATTTTCTAGATTAATCAGCAAAGGAATTTCTTGTACATGGATCTAAAACCACAACGCTGTAGCTGATAGAACGGGGGAAGCACTTTTCTCCTAGATGAGAGGTCTAGAAGATTTTGAGCTATGGTTTATGCAGCGGCAGTACCCAATGGTGGAACTGTTTGCTGGCTTGAAGACATGGGCATCATTCTCTCTCTCTCTCTCTCTCTCTCTTTCACACACACACCATTCAGATAATGGCATTTAGGAGCTGGTGCTTCCCATGAATAACCAATCACAGAGAAATCTTATTTGCATGATTGCTTCCTTCCCTTTTTGAGAGGGATGACTTGTATGCGTGGGGGCCCTCTGCTCACAAGTGACGTTCTCTCTGTAGTAAAGAGAAGGGCACCCAAGCTACTCCTCCACTACATATAACCTACCAGCATATAGCCATGAAACGGGGCTACAGGGAAGCAACAATGAAGGCAAAGACCAATGGATGGAAAGCATACCACCTATGTCTTAGCACTTTGGTCTTAGGTGTAAACACTGACCCTTCATTGTACATGTTGATCCGAAGTAATAAAAGCAAAAGGCTCATGCATGTGAATCAGAGGGTGTAAGGTACAAGAAGTCTCAAAACTGGAGCTCTGACAGTATGCTTCAAGCCCTTCAGTATCTGTCCCGATGGGACAGTGGTCAGGCAGAGGGAGCTGCTCATTTTATTTCTGCTGCTCTACAACACCATCACAGCCAATAACCATAGGGTGATGCAACTGAACTTACATGCTGCATTTTGATGGGCTTGTTTTTACTTCATTTGTCATTTTGAATATATAGGGTTGAATTACTCTCAGAGAACAGAAGGCATTCCCCAGGCTGGGCTTATTACCTCTGAGTACTTTTTGAGATTTACTCCTGGTTTCTTTGCTGTAAGCTGCTTTGAGCATGATTCTTTTTGTGGAAAGGTAGGATGCAAACAAAATCACGATGGTGATGGTTCCTGCTGTGGCCCTGTAAGGGCTGGGCTAGTGGCAGCAACCTGAAGTGACCCTGGAGCTAAGAGATGTGGAACCAGCCAGGACTGGAGACAGTGACAGCGCCATGACACAAAACAGGAGGGAGGAGAAAGGAGCAAGCCAGAATCAGGACTAAGGAGTAACCAAAATGTAAGAACATGCCAGAGCTCAGGAAAACTGTGATGCTCAAGCAAGGCTCAACTGGAACAGGGAGCCTTCTTAGACATGCCTTATAGCTTCCATAAACCATGCCTGGCTAAGGAGCTAGAAACCCCAAAAAGAAAAGAAAACAGGCCAATGACTGCTGTTGAGAAAGGGAGAAAATGGAAAGCCTGGGGAAATGGAATCCTGGAAGAGAAAGACAGACATACAGATATTGAAAGGGCAGAAAGAACCATCTCATTGTCTGGATGGCTTATTCACAATGAGAAACTATTTTAAAATGTTACTACACTGAGATATCAATGTGGCATTCATTTTATATCAGAATGGGTGATTCAGTTTCTAGTATTCTCACCTTTTGGTTTCTAAGTTAATAATATGATGTTTTATCCACGATCCATGGACAGTAAGGCCAAGTGTCCATCTGTCTATAAACACTATGGGTTTATGTCAGGGCTGAATAAGAAACCATACAATCTGCTAAACAGGCACTTTTTTCAGGTACTGACCTCATTTATTGAACATATCCACAGATACCCCTTCACCACATTCACATTATGCTCTGAGATTGTGCAACCCTGACTTCTAAATCAGTAATATATGCCCAGGTTCTGACCAGAGCAAGTAGAGATAAGGCTCTTCTGTTTACACTTCAATTGGCTGTTTTGCAGCTATTTCAGGAAAAAATAAGCAGCATCCTTCAGAGAAGGCCCAGTGCCTATAATAAGGCTATTTAAAATGTACATGATTCGGTGACTGCAGACTTTGTTTCCAGGTAAAGAAGAATATGATAAGGCAAAATTGATGTTAAATAGCAATGGACCATATAGGCTTGAATTTAATTTGAAATAGCATTTAATTTGCTTGAACTGAATTCTGAATCTTTGTTTGCAACATTAAGTACCACTAATTACTCTTTAAAATGACTACCCATAGCTTCTGTTCAAAGCAGATATGATAAATGCTCTATATATCAAGTTCCTTTCAAAGGAACAGATTATACTCAGAGTTCTCTCTTACAACTATCTTAGATGACAATTACCTGCAGGCTTTTACAATACAGACACTGAATTAATTAACCTTTGCCATAAATTATAGCAACTCTAGCAAAGGCTGATACTTCTATTGCTTCAGCTCCTTAATAATCTCACAATACAAGATGACAAATCAGCTGCTTGTTATTCCTAAGGCACACAATGACGACTTCTGCACAATTCCCCTCCCCCCCCCATGAAACTGAATTCCATTGGGTGAAAGCCAACGTTAGTCATACTCGTAAAAGACCCACTGGACTACTTTGTTTATTACTTCGTTGGGTATAACTCATTGTCTCCACAAGTGGGCATATAGAACCAGAACTGTGCTTCTTAAAATTGAGCACATTTTGATACTCCTATATTGTTGCAAATTAGGGATGTATAAAATACTGCAATATGAACCTGCTAGGGATTGATTGACAGAACCATTGCAGGGATCACTGCTGCTAGCTTAGCTGTGCAAATAATTGCTCATGAAAGCAATCTGTGTGTAACATGGGAAGAGGAGACTTGAGGAAGACCATGTCTTCCTCAAGTGGTTTTCATTCATAGAGACAATGACATCATCCAGAGTTCACCGGACATGCAAGTAACAGTTACTTGTGCAGTTAAACTAGCTGCAGTATGTCTTTATTAAATCTGACCTACAGAGGCTTCCAGACCACTTAAAACAGGGGTCAGCAAACTTTTTCAGCAGGGGGCCGGTCCACTGCCCCTCAGACCTTGTGGGGGGCTGGACTATATTTTGAGGGGGGGGATGACGCAAGAGCACCACGAGCCCCGGTGGCTGCTTACCTGTGTCTTGAGAGCAGCAGGGGCTGGCAGCAGCGGTGGGATGATGAACAGTGCGCGAAAGGTCTCCGGAGAGGGGCTGCTTAAAATGGCAGCTGCTTGAGTGCTGCTGCTGGCGCCAACAAAGCCCAGCCCCCTTCCTCCTGTAGGCAGGGCAGGGAGAAGCCAGGAGGAGGGAGGAAGGAGGCACCGCCACCGCCCCCTTATGAGGGAGCGGGAAAGAATGTGTGCACTGGCAATCCACGTGGCAATTCCCAGACCGTCCGAGGGCTGGATCCAGAAGGCAATTGGGCCTGATCTGGCCCGTGGGCCTTAGTTTGCCTACCCATGACCTAAAGCCATGAGTTTTCATGAATATCAGCAGGAGCACATGAAGACAAGTGGAACTGCATTTGCTGGGATGGGGAGAACTGTTAGCAAGGTCAGGAAACCTGCGAGTTGGTATTCTGGGTGGCACAGATGCCTCCAAACCACCAGTTCACCTCTGAATTCACCAATGCCTTTCCTTATTCTGGCAAATGCCAGTAGGGTGCCATTCCCTCTCCATCTTCCCCTCATGCACCATCACTGATGAATAGACAACACAAGGATTTTAAGGGAGCTGAAGGTGTATGATAAAGCCTTAATCACCAGTCCTCTCTTCTCTCCTATCATTCCATGTACACAACATGTGCTCAAATGCAAATCTCACCTTTTGTCAGTGGACATTTGTGTAACCCCACCTTCCTTCCAACAACTTGTGTGTGTTTGTGTATATGCATGCATACTCTGGGGAAACTATTGGAACTGGGCTCAAAAACTGCTTCCAAATGAAAGTCATGATAAACTACTTGAACTGGGGGGAACGGGATTCACAGACACATTTAAAAATATACATCTAATTAATTCCTTACAGATCACAGGCTATACAGATTAAATAGCTTTTTTCAATGCACACTGAAGTTACCCATACTTTGACTAATTACATTCCTTCCAATGCTTGTCAGAAGTTCACTGAAAAACGTCAACATTAAAAAGGCAATAACAACACAGAGATGACAGCCCCAAATACTCAAAATCATTAGCCAGGTCCATGAGCACATATCATTTTGATGAAAATATTGACATTTTTAAGTACCCTTGGGTTATTTTGCTGTGGTTTGGTTACAGACTTCTTAGCGTAGTTATGTTTTCAAAAAAATTCCCTGGAATGTTGAGGACTAAAAAATTGCTTTTTTAAAATGAAAGCTTATGGAGGCAGCCATATACTGAATGTATTAAATCCCTTAAAATTGGAAGTTGATTACTTTAGGGATTATGCAAGACTGCCAATTAAAGATAAAAGGTCTTATCCAGGTCTGGTTGAGTGCAAGACTGCTCACCAAGCACTTTCTTCTCCCTCTCTCCAAGGAATATAATGTACTGCTTTTCCCCTTTCCCCAGTGTGGCTAGAGTAGGAGCACAGGACAGTATTCAACTAACTTTAACACAGAGTAGACCTACTGGGACGCGGGTGGCGCTGTGGGTAAAAGCCTCAGCGCCTAGGGCTTGCCGATCGAAAGGTCGGTGGTTCGAATCCCCGCGGCGGGGTGCGCTCCTGTTGTTCGGTCCCAGCGCCTGCCAACCTAGCAGTTCGAAAGCACCCCCGGGTGCAAGTAGATAAATAGGGACCGCTTACTAGCAGGAAGGTAAACGGCGTTTCCGTGTGCGGCTCTGGCTCGCCAGAGCAGCAATGTCACGCTGGCCACGTGACCCGGAAGTGTCTCCGGACAGCGCTGGCCCCCGGCCTCTTGAGTGAGATGGGCGCACAACCCTAGAGTCTATCAAGACTGGCCTGTACGGGCAGGGGTACCTTTACCTTTACTTTAGACCTACTGAAATTAATGGATTTAAGTTAGTCATGGCCATCAATTTCAATAGGTGCATGCTAAGTAAAGGTTGGATGAATACAACCCTCAGTAGTTATGGGTCAAGCAACGCAAGGCATTAATCATGAAACTCCCTCCTAAAGTGCAGGGTTGTTGTTTTTGAACAAATATCAAAATCCCAGCAGAGTATGTGTGTGTGTGTGTGTAATGGCATTTAACCTTCTGACCCCAGTTGTGGCCCTGACCTGGATCATCCCTAGCCTGAGTTAGCTATGCACTATAATTCTCCAGCTGGGCCAATATATGAGTATATTTTGTCTATGGTTCAAACATTGAAGTGTTCAGCTATGAGAATGCTAACTTGGGGATGAGTGGGCAACACATCTCACCAGTGCTGCAACATCTGAACTGGCTATCGGTCCATTTTCAATGTGCTGCTACTGACCTTAAAGTGCTTCTCAGCTTGGGATCAGAGTATCTGATGGACCACCTACAAGCCAATTTATGTTGTGAAATCATCTTCAGAAATTCTCCTTCAGGTTCCTCCACCAGCAAAAACATTACAAAATCCTTTTTCCACAAATGGACTTACTCCTTGCAGAGTCAGGCAAAGGGCTATCTATTAAGATTCTCAGGAGACACTTACACATTCAAAATCTGTATCTTTCAGATTATGTTTGCTTAAAGGAATATATCCTCTTCCTAACATTACTGTTTTTAAACTAGCAAAAAGAACATACCCTCAAATACAAGAACATAAAAGGTAAAGGTAAAGGGACCTCTGACCATTAGGTCCAGTCGTGACCGACTCAGGGGTTGCGACGCTCATCTCACTTTATTGGCCGAGGGAGCCGGCGTACAGCTTCCGGGTCATGTGGCCAGCATGACTAAGCCACTTCTGGCAAACCAGTTTAGCACATGGAAACGCCATTTACCTTCCCGCCGGAGCAGTACCTATTTATCTACTTGCACTTTGACGTGCTTTTGAACTGCTAGGTTGGCAGGAGCAGGGACCGAGCAACGGGAGCTCACCCCATCACAGGGATTCGAACCGCCAACTTTCTGATCGGCAAGTCCTAGGCTTTGTGGTTTAACCCACAGTGCCAGTGCCACCCGCGTCCCTCTAATACAAGAACATAGGAAACAGCTAACTAAAACAGTACCTTGGTATATTTAAGTTCCGTCAACACTGACCACAGCGGACACTACTCTCCATAATTTATTTCCCAGCTCATTTTAGAAATGCCAGGGACTGAACCTAGGGTCTTCTGCATGCAAAGCAGATGTTCTGCTGTTGAACTGTACCCTTTTCCAAGAATGCTCAAAGAAAATAGCTTTGAAATGTCAAGAGCATAAGACAACCGTAACTATATTCTTGGTTCTTATGGTGTTTCATGGACTATCACATTAAAGTAAATCTTGTATTCTTCTAATCTACGTGATACATTATGCTTTTTGCATGAATCTAACCTGAATGGCATAAGTCCATAGACTGATACTTCTTGTACATACACAACAAGTGATAAAAACAAAAAAAACATTCTTTGTCCCTACCTCTTACCTCACTGGCAATGTTCTGTCTCCTTTTCTTCTGTCCATCTCTCTTTGGGGAACAGGATACCAACGAAAATTAAGTTTCCAGTTAAAACCTCCATAAGTCATGTCTGACCCAGCCATATACTCAAAAGTGTCATCGCTGATCACATCAATAATTGGGCAAACAACAATCTTTCTATAAAACAAAAAGTAAATATGCAAGCAGGTAATTTTCAATGCAAGGAAATCTCTCTGGCCCCAAATACACATGTGCACCATTGCCAGGCCTGCATTCACAGAGCCCTCAATAATCATCCATTTGGTAGAATAAAGGGAATCTAGATGGTTAAATCCAGGTGCTGCCTCCCCCCCCCCCAGTGCACCCCTTTCGGAACAACTGATTACTGCTTTGTTTGAAGAGGGATATATGGCAGCTGGAACAGGGAGATGACCAATGTATGAAGCACCCATTTGGACATAGGATTTGTCATCCAGCTAGAAGGACACACACAGAGCCTTGCTTCTAGAGCAGGAATGGATAATGTGCGGTCCTCCAGATGTTGTGGGACAGCAGCTCCCACCATACTTTAACACTGGCTATGTTGGCTGGGGTTGATGAGAGTTGGAATGCTACAGATTCCTTATGCATGTTCTAGAGGCAGAAAGCCCTCGTGAACAAGGTTACAGTTTTGAAATGCATATGCTATACATACTATCCACAGCACATTAAAGCACTACCATGTTCCTTTGAGTTCAATGGGATTCCAACACACGTAACTTCCTCCACATTATGTGCTTTCCACTCCACCTTTAAAATAATCTGCTGTGCTCACATATTACTGATGAATAGTTCTGTGCAGCTAACAAAGCAAACTGTACAGCTTCCATCCCCCCCATCAGTTTAATAAAAAAATTGGTATTTGTTTCTCTGGCTTTTAAACTCATTAATTCAAGAATGATTTTATGCTGCTTGTGCCAGCTTTTCTGTGGATATTGCATTGATTTTAATGTTTCAACTTCGTTATTGTTTGGAGTTTGTGTGAACAGCCCAGAGGGCATTGTTAATGGGTGGTCAATAAATGTCTAAATTCCAGCTGTATTGGTCTGGACAGAAAATGAAATAATTTTTGTGTGTGCAGGCCTATCAGCTAGAAAACAACCAGAAACATACATTTCTGTCATCTTTAACCTAATGAGAAGAATACAAACCAGAGAAATAGTGTGTGTATAATACAAACTGTAAAAGTGAAAACAAGGATGACAAATTAGTCTGACAATGTAATTAACAGTAGGAAGCCACAGGAAGAACAGCGAGAAATGTTATTTGTGCTTTCGTAGGCTGAATCCAAAAATTATTGAGATTGGATGGAGCCAAGGATGATGGACTCCATGTACATCCCCTTCAACATTTCTCCGATGAAAATAGGGACGTCCCATTCCATAATGATAATTTTACTATTTACACCCCACACATCTTACTGGGTTGCCCCAGCCACTCTGGGCAGCTTCCAACATATATAAAAACATAACAAAACATTTTTTAAAACTTCCCTATACAGGACTGTCTTCAGACAGCTCAGGGGTCGGATAACTCCCTACCCTCCAACATTTCTCCAATGAAAATAGGGACATCCTAAGGAAAAGTGGGACATTCCAGGATCCAAACAGAAACCGGGGCAGCTTCTCTAAATCAGGGACGTCCCTGGAAAATAGGGACACCTGGAGAGTCTGCATATATGACCTGAAAGCAATATTGTTTTGAAGGCGTGTAGCTGGTGAAGGTGAAGTGGAAGGGTAGCAAAAGATCTGGGTGAAAGCTGGCCTTGGGATAGAAGCTACTTCTCAGCAGTTGGAATGATCTCATTGGGTTGAGGCACCCGATTATCTGTTTCTACTGTGCTCCAAGGTCAGGGCCTGCTAACAGGGAAGTTGTTTCAACTTTGCCAGAAAGTTCTAGCTTTGAAGGCTTCTGACTAGTTCAGGGGATTCACCCCAGTTAGTATGCATTTCATTATAAAGCTAGCCTTTTCTGTTGTTATCTCTGCTTCTATTACCTTGCCTCTTTGCAATAACTCTTTGGAGAGATAATACTTTTTGTGCTATGGGCTAGATCTTTTAGGATCGATGCTCTATGATATGTAGTGAGTTAGGGCGAGTTAGCATTGTTATTTTCTTCCGGTTCATAATTCCCAACTGTATTTGTCAATTGGATTTTTGAACCCCAATCTGGGTGAAGATAAAACAACAGTTATTGCACATCATAAAGACTATGATTCTATGTTGCGGACATTCCCTCCTGTATGAGAGAGAAGTAGGAAGTCTGCCATCTGCATTTTCTTGAGTTATTTGTATAAGACACATAGAGTGTGTGTGTGTGTGTGTGTGTGTGTGTGTGTGTGTGTGTGTGAATTATTGTAACTACCTTCAGGATTGTGACAAGTGAGGTATACATTTTCTAAATCCATAAATAAAATAATTAACAATGGGCCCAATCAGATCTGTCACATTAATGAGGAGGACATGTCTCGTTAGACCAATTTCTGAACAATGGAGCCAAATAAAAAATGTGCAGGCCTACTTTTGTTCTAGAAAAGACCAGAAAGGCCTTGGCTGAGACTTATATTTTCAGTATCAGCCCATAAGACATTTCCCATAACTAACTGAAATACTATGTAAGAAGAAGTTTATAATAAACTTACTTCTAATTAAAGCTCTCCTGGTAGATGCTATCACAGTGCAAAAGCTATACAGGATTAGTTCTGAATTCTCACCTGTCTTCCTTGATTCTTGCCAGCAGGGGCTCCAGCCAGCCTAAAGTGCATTCACAGTGTGCATCCAGAAAAGTTATGACTTGGCCCTTGGAAGCTGCTGCTCCTCTAAGCCGAGCTCGAATCAGTCCTGATCGCTGTTCCATCCTAATGATTTTTACTGGCACTTGCAAACTTTTCACATAATTCTCTAATGGGACCTTCAGAAAATCTGCCAAATGCAAATTGGGGGGGGGGGGGAATACAACAAAGTGTTTGTTCAAATGAAATTTGGAGGCCAAAAGGAACACAGGATAGAAATTGTGTTGTTAAGATGCCACACACTGCTTTCTGAAAGGATGACTTCCTTGCAACACTCTAATAAACGCATTTGCAAAGGTCAAAAGATTCTGAAGGAGGAAACCAAAAGCTACTGAGAGACATATTGACAATTCACAGAATAAAGGAGGGAAATAAGGCCAGCAGAAAAAGAGAAAGAGCACTATGTGAATGCTGAGGTGAATACAGCATCTATTTGTTTCATAGGTCATGTGGGGTAACAGCCTGAAAATGAGCACCAAGTGGAACAGATGCAGGGCACACTGTCTTGCAGCTGTGCAGGGTAAATTAGCATGGGTATCCTACACATACTGGGACGCGGATGGCGCTGTGGTCTAAACCACAGAGCCTAGGGCTTGCCGATCAGAAAGTCGGTGGTTCAAAACCCCGTGATGGGGTGTGCGCCTGTTGTTTGGTCCCAGCTCCTGCCCACCTAGCAGTTCGAAAGTACGTCAAAGTGTAAATAGATAAATAGGTACCTCTCTGGTGGGAAGGTAAACGGCATTTCTGTGCACTGCTCTGGCTCGCCAGAAGCAGCTTAGTCATGCTGGGCACATGACCCAGAAGCTGTCTGCAGACAACCGCCAGCTCCCTCGGCCTATAGAGCGAGATGAGCGCGCAGCCCCAGAGTTGTTCGTGACTGGACATAACGGTCAGAGGTACCTTTACCTTTATCTTTATCCTACACATACAGACTCCTTCTCTGCTTCTTGTATGAGAGACAGACAAACAGAATATACTCTGGCTCACATAAGTCCATAAGGGACTCCAAAATCCTTCCAGTGCATGAGAAAGAACACTTCTGATAAAGAAGCAAAGTAAATGATGGTCATATTTTTATGCTGAGACAATAGATAGCTACTGTCTTTTTGGGGGTGGGGGGGGAGCTACAAGGAATTATGCCTCTCGCCCACACTGGAGCACTTGAAAATACTTTTCCTGGTCATAATTACTTCCCCCGCCCATCTTAGGCAGCACTTAATAGGTTTTTGAAGACTTGAAACAACTGACTTTTCAAAATAATAATGTTTCCTTAGCTATGTAAAGAGAGATATAACCAGTGTTGCTGGCTGCTGAAAGCACTTCATTTGGAAGAGCAAGGCATTATGATAGAACAAAAGAAGAAAAATTTATAAAAGAAGTATTTGGCCAAAACAAAAGGTATTGACATATATGGTATTTATCTATTAAACATTCCTACTCTGTCTTTCTGTCATTAAGACATCCAAGCCAAACAATAAATATTCCATATTTGATATGTAACAAAAAGCAATATGATCCTATGAAATGGAAGCAGATGGAATTACCGCATTTTCAAATGCCTTCTTAATACAGTTTTCACCATGTTCCAAAAGGCCAAAAGAAAAATGTGCATGGGCAAGTTTTCTGGAAGAAGGAATTCCAAAGTTCAGGAGTAATTCTTTCCTATACAGCAATATAATTTCTCTCACAAATACACTGCAGAGCATAGTAAGGCCTTAGGTGACCTGAGTGATTGAGAATAATCATTTTGGTGGCATTGGCCCTGTACACAATTTAGACCTTTGGAAACCACATAAAATGGGACCTCCTCTTCCCATCCTAGAGGGAAGTCTGTTGAGAGGTCCAGGAGAACCATACAAGGACATGCATACCTAGTATGTATCACGAAAACGGGACAGAATTCCTAGAAAAGGATTTAGATAACTGGTTTCATCCAGAAATACCTGTAGCCAGGCTTACTACTACATCATTCAGAACCCTCCCACAAAATAGTACATTTGAAAATGGTCAGTCATAATAATAATGATAATAATGATGATGATGATGATGATGATGATGATAATAATAATAATAATAATAATAATAATAATAATAATAATTTATTATTTATACCCCACCCATCTGGCTGGGTTTCCCCAGCCACTCATAAGGAGTGCCTAGCTTGTAGCTGTTCAGCTATGGGTCAACTGGTCCAAAGTTCACCTCAGCAGGATATAACAGGAGTTTCTGTAATACTTGTCCTACTACAGATTCTTTTAAAACTGTTAATCCCCTTTTCTGAGTGGCATTAACAATCTGTTACCTGCTGAGCAAGTGCCACTGGGTAAATTTACTAAGCCTGGGTGTGCATGTGGCAGGCCTCACTTCTGCAAGTATTCTGTCCACATTCTCTGCATGCACACACTGAAAAGTATCCATATAAACTTGACAAGCAATTGTCAGTTGTAAATTGAACCTCTAGACAGAGCAGGTATGGTTCATTTTGTCTGTAAAAGTATGTGTTCACCATGGGCTACAGTGGGTCTCTCTGGCTCACTCCAGGGGTCAGCATTCAACAAACCCCAACCTGCTCTGAACAGTGACACTCCACAACATTGCCCAGGTGCAATGGTGATACTTTCCCTCACTACCACTGAGCAGGCAAAAGGGAATCTCACCTGCATCTGATAGACTTGAGTACACATTTTTCACCACTCTAGCCATTGTCCCCATAAAACCTAGGATTAACAGCAATGCAAGATTTTCAGAGTAAACAGATTTCATTTTCTTTTTAAAAGTATTTTACATTCTTATCGCCTTGCCACAACATTACTCTGGAATTATTTATTCCTTATCATAATTTGTTTTCTGTTCACTCATACCTCTTTCACTGGCATCGTCTACCAAGATAATCTCAGAAAGTAGATAGTGTGGAGACCGATTTATAACACTGTAAATAGTACGAAGCAGAGTGCTCCAGGCTTCATTATGAAATACTATGACCACACTTGTGTTTGGTAGTTCATCAGGGTAGACTTTTGTCTTGCATCTGTCAAAGACAAAAAGGAAGTTGATTTATTCAGAAATTCATTCCATGGCACTAAATAATGGCATACAAGTTAATCAGGTTCCAGAAGCCAGGCCCCAAGGTTGCTGCACCGAAAGCAGAATGAAAGCAGAATATTAATCTCCCTAAACCTGCAAGAAAGATTCCTGCTGGTAACAAATGAATCTATGCTGTGGGTAACAGGGATATTAGTATTAAGACTCATGAAATCCACCTTCTAAAGACATTTTATTGCTCTCAAAACACTGAAAATAACAAGAATCAATGTTTTAAAAACAGCAAATAATAAACTCAGCACCAAGCATCTGCACACAGAGAGAAAACAAAACATCAAAAGGTATTTCTCATTTAGCCTTACATGCCTACACTCTCAGACATACATCTATGTTCACATGCGCAAATAAAACAGCATTTCAGCATTGTTCTCCTTCCCACATCTTATTGATGGCTGGATTATTAAACCTCCTCAAAATGTAAACAATATCTCCTTGATCTATGCTTAGTATCCTTGCTACTGAAAAATCATGAGCAGCTAATCTGGTGAGGCAGAGACATAGCAGTAGAGACTCTGTTGGTGGGGAAAAGCCAACATTACCACCTCAATGTGTCTAGCTACAAGTCTCAAAAATGTTCTTTTGATACTATGCAGCACTTGCACCTAAAAATCTGATGCTACTGTCTAAGCAGTGGGGGAGAGCAGGTGGGGGCATGGCTGGTGCACGTCCTGGAGGTGTGGTGCGCTGCCCGCAGGGGCATGGTGCGAGTTCTGGGGGCGTGGCGTGCAGCTGCGATGGTACCCCACCAGGGTCGTGGTGCCTGGGGCGATGCCCTCCCCCCCGCCCCCCTCTTCCTCCGCCAGTGTGTCTAAGCATTTCCCCCCGGGGTGATTTACATATAGGCACATAAAAATACCTTTACATTTTATACTGCATACTTAAAACAGCAATGCTATTTATTCTTCCTGTTCAAAACTATGCCACATTAAAAGAAACACGACTACAATTACAGGAGCTGTAAACAAACAAATAAAAGAAAACCCTGTTTTCATCTTCCTCGGGACATTACAATAATTTTGATTGCTGGCAATATTCTAGTGAGTGAAATGTTTTCCTTTGGAAATCATGCATTTGTCAAATGGAGATTTATGAATACGCATGAAGTAAGTACAGCTGTTTAAATGTGATGAAAACACACTTTCCAAGATCAATAACATGAAAACAGAGTGCACTACATACCTATTTACTATTGTTCCCTTTGGCTATGTACAAATTATGTGACCATAAACTGTTCCACTGTGGCTTTATCCCTTTCAGGATTGTATTGATTTCAGCAATGCAAGGGTAGATAATACATCACATGAATAGAAGCAAAGCAGTCAGACAAGATGAGAAACTGCAGTGACTACGGGCGATTTAAGAGGCAACAGTTATCATTTAGGACCAAATCCAAACAGAGTGGCTGAGGTGACTTTACGGATTGTAACGGGATAATTTAGCAGTTACTATTTATTGCTCTACATTAAGAAAGTTAACAGCAGCAATCAAAAAGTATGGCGTAAAATAAAAAAGCTTGATGCATTCGTTATTTGGCTGCCTTTTGTATTTTACAACTACCAAAGGACTTGATGAATCTTCTGAAACAATGGCCAGTTCCCACTATTTCACAACTGTTAGAATTTATACAACTACAGTAAATGGAAAATCCTTCCTGCTTTCTGTGAAAAGATGAGAAGACGAGTGACCCAGTTTTACAGTGAAAAATTTGCCTTACAAGACTGACGCAATAATTATTATTAACATGTTTGTTGATTAGACCAGACCCTTGTGGAAAGCACAAGCCAGTGTTATCCAAAAGTGGTCTTTGCATTGTTGTATTCCACCCCAATCTCCAGGTGGTGATTCCAGGGGTTCCAGGCTCGTGCTTGCTTTTGGAAATGAGGCACAGTGGAGACTGTGGTGTCTTTATGATATATGGTCTATTTACACACACACACACACACACACACACAGAGAGAGAGAGAGAGAGAGAGAGACTGCAATGGAGGGGTTCAAAGAATTAACACTCCAAAAGGCCCTTGTTTCTCCCATAGCTGCAGCCTTGGGTTCCAGCAGAAATCAGGCATGGTTCTCTCATTTCCCAGCCTGCCACTCTTCAGCTTCTAGTTCACATAACTCCACTCTTCTCTTTGTTTTTCAACCAACCAGTTGAGGAAGGGGGCCCTAACCATTATCTGTGTAGCAAAGAGTCATTTTATTTGTTCCCTTAATGGCCCATTACCTGGGCTATCACCTCGCCAGGAAGCTAGCCTGGCTACTCCAGGAATTTGAATCATTGCTTAAATTTAAACACCTGTGGTAGCATACAGCCTACTCCTCCCCCAACCCCCAACCCCATAACAATACTAAGTAGGCCTCAAAGTTGTGGGGTAGGGTAATCCTACCCAAACTCATCACGGAAATATAAGAACTTAAATATCAGAGTTGGGGGGGACACAAGGTTCAAGGGTTTCCTAAGGAGATCTTCAACTCTAGAACTTTATACTCATTTTGTTTAATCATCTACAGTGGTTGCCTATTTGTTTCCAGGCTCAATTCAAAGTGTTGGCTTTAAAGTCCTAAATGGCTTGAGATCTTGGTGTATCTTATAGACCAATGTTCTGCCCCGCATTTCCATTCAGTATCCAAGGTCCTACTCCTGATTCTCCAGCTGTCACAGGTGGGTGCTCATGTGTCCTGCTTTGCAGAGGACAGTTGTATATTTGAAGAGCTGTCTGATCCCAGATAAAGAACAAAAAGTAATTAGGAACGTCTTCTGCCAACATCCTGGAGAGCTACTGCCAGTCAGTGCAGCCAACAATCTGCTAGATGGAGCAATAGTCTTGACTTAGTGTAAGGCAGCCTCCTTTTCTTCAAAGTACAGGAGTGCATGCAAAGTGCTCCCAGACATGGGAGCTTTCATTTTCTGCTTTGGGCAGCAGAGCAATCTTGCATCCCTTGGAATGCCACTGTAGAGCACCTAAGCTGATGTGATGGGTGGATTGTATGCAATGCTTTAGATCCTAACCATATGCATTTCATTCATATCGAAGCAGCTGTGGAAACTGCAAGAATGCAAAGCTGAATGCAAAGCATTTTGAAATGCAGATCAGAATTTAAATTCTCAGAGATGCCAGTTTGGTAAATAACATGTTTTCTCCTTTTATATTTGTGTGCAACATTCAAGGTTTTGGACACAGCTGTATGTTCCTTAGAGCAGCGTTACAGAATGAGCCATCTATTTCAAGCAGTAACTCTATACTGGAGTTAATGTTTATTACAGTATATAATAGAAGGTTGATGCACTGTTTCAGATATGAAATTTTCAAATGTACAGTAATAAAAAATCCCTCTGTATATTACTCAAAAGCAGTAATTTGCACCAACAAATAATTTATAATTTTCTCCCTACTTAGCCAGAAGTAACACTTTAAAAACAACTCTGTTGACACTGCCTTGCTGAATTTTGCTGAACCAAAATACACTATATCCAATCTTATATCTATCTATCTATCTATCTATCTATCTGGTGATAGATGTGGAAATGTGTCTTGAAAGTGTCTTGAAAATGTCTCTATCGTGTTATATTATACAATATAAATAGGTCTGCAGTTTGCAAGAACAAAGAGACTTCACTCACACCTTCAGCTGTCACTGTTCATAACAATGACATACTCAGAATGTGGGCTTGAATATCAAGCTTTCCTTAGGGATTTAGAACTCTAAATAGAGCATTAATTTTTCAAAAGTTGCCTCTGTGCAAGAATTTCATTTAGTTAAAAGCTCAAAAAGCTTTTGTGCCAGAGTAGGAACAAAGTAGCAGATGAAGGAGTATTTCAAAAAATTTTTTTAAAAAAACACACACACGCACAAAGTGCAGGTTTTTAAGAAGCTAATCTTTCTCTCCATCTCCAAAGCAACTCAAGTGGATAATATGCAGTTTTTCAACATTTTCCCAATCATACTGCTCCATAAAATAAGAATTGGCCCTTAATCCCAATAACAATGAAGCCAGTAGAGACCTTTTTCTACTCTAAAAGAGTAGAACACATCCATGTGTAAGGGGGGGGGGAGAGAAAGGGAAAGGGAAATCATAATCAACAATGAGGCACGTAGTTAAGAGGGAGGGAGTTTATCTTGCTCCCCAACCCTAGTAGTGTTTCAGGCTAGTAAACTGTTAGGAAAACACAGGTGCTTTAAAATTCTGTAACTCCATGTTTCAAGATATTAAAAAATGTAAAGCTGAAGGACAGATTTCCTCCTCCAGTCTTACTATCCACAGCCTGTATACTGTGTGGCACACCTGAATGGGAGTCTTGGTTTGTATAGAAGAGAATGAAAAGAAGCTGCAATCCCAGATAAGGTTGAGGAAAGCAATGCCACCACCCAACTGGAGAGACTGGTGACACTCAGAATCTGAAGGAGGGTATGTGTGGAAATTGCGCCTCCTGCATCCCTATTTACTTTGTCCAATGGAACAGAATGGATAACACTGAGAACCAATCTCACAATGATATCGTCTCCTCCTTTCCATAGCCCTGCCTTACATTCTACAGTGGTACCTCAGGTTAAGTACTTAATTCATTCTGGAGGTCCGTACTTAACCTGAAACTGTTCTTAACCTGAAGCATCACTTTAGCTAATGGGGCCTCCTGCTGCTGCCGCGCCGCCAGAGCACGATTTCTGTTCTCAACCTGAAGCAAAGTTCTTAACCTGAAGCACTATTTCTGGGTTAGCGGAGTATGTAACCTGAAGCGTATGTAACCTGAGGTACCACTGTATTTCTAGAGCACAGTATAATATTGGAAACAGTGTGTCTATGTCAAGTTTCCCCATTTCCTAAGGGCCACTGACCGCCACCATGTTCTGAGGTTTTCTCTC